GGACTGCTGGTGGGCTCCCAGCGGGTGAGGAGACCTGCGGACACCAGCCCAGAGACTGCCGCCGCCTGCCAACGGTGAGCCTGTAGCAGACGTGGCACCAGGTTCCAACTTCCTCCGGGCACCTCGTGTGCACAGACCCGAGCCGCGGCAGGCGCCATATTGCCTCTCCCTCCCCCGACCCTACGCGGCTGCCCAGAGAGACAATACAGCCACCAGCCGGAGGCACCTCCAGGGAACGGGACCTTCCCGTTTGGGACCCCCGCCGCCCTCCCAGGTGCTGCTGGCACCGTGTTCCCAGGAAAACGGTGCCGACTCAGAGGCTGAGAGACATAGACCCAGCTTGGGCTCCCTGTGGGTGAATTAGGACCGGAAATCCTCTCCCTGGTGGGAATACAGTTTGAACTCTGGGACCCAAAGGTCGGACCTGCAGACCAGATCCCCTGCACCGAGGGCTAGCATTGCCCAGAGCACAGAAGGGTTATATGTGAACAGCCTACTGAGGTTTGTGTGCCTCTAGGGGCGGATCGGAGTCCTAGAGGGCAACCCTCCTCCCAGGAGGAGGCCGTGCGCCCAACCCAGGTGGCGTTCCCGTGCAGGGAACCTCCCCGCCAGCATCACAGTCCGGGGAGGCCTGGTGGCTTGTGGTCTGGCCTGCTGGCAGAGGCCCAGGAGTAGCTGCGGAGTTGGGAGGGTGAAAAAAGCCAGGCCTGCTGCAGACTGCGGGTCTCAGACAGCCCCACCCCCACACCGACCTTGAGCAATCCGCCCGCCTCGGCCTCCCAAAGTGCTAGGATTACAGGTGTGAGCCACCACGCCCGGCCTCTAATCACTTCTTGTTAGCTGTGAGATCCTATGCGAGTTAATTCACCATTAAAACATCTAGCTCCTCAATCTTTAAAATGACAATAAAAAATACATACAAAACCACTTGCAAGGTTTTGAGCAATCTAATAAGGTAAAAATACATACATAGCAGCCAACAGAATGCCTGGTGTAGCGTAGCTACCAAATCAATGTTAGTTTGCTGTTTTCCATAAACTTTTCTCACTGGTCATCAAGAGCATGGAATCTTAGAACTAGACAGTATATTAGTAGAACACTTATGACAGAAAGTAATAGAAAACTCAGCTCCTTAAATGAGGAAACTGATTGGTTTAGTAAGTATAAGTTGCAAAGTAGGGTGTGCTTGAAGACTGGTTGATAAAGCACTTTAACAGTGTCATCAAGAACCCGAGTTTTTTCTGTGGTCCACTCTTCCTTTCTGAATATGGATTCATCATGTGCCTGATTTTCCTGATGTTTATAGGAGAGCTATAGTAGCTTTCACATCTGTTAGGTGAGAGAGATCTTCTCCAAGTCACACTCCACTTCTGTGCAGTGTGGATGACCCAAATTTGGCCACATCTCCTTATATAATAATATTGCCAGAGACAAACCAGGCTTTGATAAGTGTAGGCCCTGATTCCTGAACCAGTCAGCAACAAAGAGGATGGGATTGGCATGATTGCCAGGGCCTCCTTCTGAACTGGGGTCAAATTTGGATCTAGAGAGTCAAACCCAATGTCTACTACCGAAACTTGAGTTTCAGCACTTTAATACTTGCTATGTCCTTGGGCAAGTTATATAACCCTGTTGAAACTCAATTTCTTTATTTGCAAAATGGGAAAAATAATAGCATGAACCTCTCAAGGTGTTTTGAAAATAAACGAAGATACTGGAATAAATTTTAAAACAAAAGGCTCTGCAGAGTGTCTGCTATATAGTAGATGCCCAATACATGTTAATTATTATTAATATTATTTATTCATCTATAAAATTTCATATTATATAATAGCTGTTTTTAAATTGTCTGACTTTCTGGCTAAAGTATAAGTTTGTTGAGGATACAAACATTATTAGTTTCATTTTCTATGTCCAAATTCTTACATATAATAAATGTCCAACTTATTTCTTTAACAAATGAGTGAATAAATGGTTATCTGTGGAGTGAATGAATAAAGACCTGAAAATAATGGAAGGTAGATTTAAGAGAAATACAATGGTGACTGGATAGATTACAGGTCGGACAGGATATGGGAACAAAATGGGCTTGATTGAGAGAGAACGTATTGGAGAGTGAAAATTTCAGACACAGAGAGTGGTATTCTCTGAAGATTTGAGTGGTTGCAGGAAGTGAGCAAACCAAATACAGTTTGGGTTCAGGGTACACGGCTCATAGGGGTTATGATGTCTTCAGATATTGCATTTTACAATTTGATAAACAACAAGTACTTAGATAAAACCCTGAAGGATGCTGTTATCTGAAGAAGGTAAAAGAATAATAAGAGCTACTAGGAGCTTGGTATGTTCCAGGCATTGTTCTAAGTGTCTCCTCTTGTATAAACTCACATAATCCTCAAAACCAAACCATAAAACCATGAAAGAAGTCATATTCTTTCCATCCCCACTGCCATTTACAGATAAGAAAATCAAGCCCAGAGAGGCTGAGCAACTTGCCTAAATCACACAGATAGTAAATAGTGAAACTGAGATTTTTACTCAAAGAGTCTGACTCAGGAGTCTGTGTGTTTAACCATTGCACTGTCCTGTGTCTCTCCTGAAATGGAAGGGTGCTCGGAGACGCCAGTCTCCAACCCCAAACCACTTAGTGCCATGGGAGCACCACGGGTCTCCCAGGCCACTGACAGCCAAAGCACAGCCAACGTTCACGAGGAGTCCGTGCCCGCTGGCCCGCTCGTGGGGCTTGAGCAAGCCCCAGCACATAACCAGTGGCTGCGGAGGGTGCCGACTAAGCGAACGTTCCTTCAGGGAATGAGCGTGCGGAGGGCTGGATGGGGGCAGTACTTGTGGAGTGCACGCGGCATGTGTGATGGCTCATGGTATATGTGATGGGCAGCATGCATGATGTGCTTGTTTCTACACAGAGCGACCTCTTCATGCTTCCCCATTTGGTAAATTTTTCCAAGATGAGACAGTGTGCTTAGCAATAACACCCAGGGTAACATGAAAGAGATCCTTAGAGATAATACATGCTTCAGAGGATACACTGGGAGTTGCAATGAATACAAAATTGCGTGTCCCTTTCCAGGGACTCTTTCAGAATTGTTACTGAGCTCTGGAGAAAAAGCACAACAAGCTGTCTGAGTCAAAGGAGAACCTAGGCCAGGGGCTCTCCTTGGGAATTAAGGGAGTAGGGACTATCAAACTACCACTTCCTCAAGAGGAATCCACAAGCAGTCAAACAAAGACAAAGCCACTGCTAGTAATTTTTTGGTTGTGGCTTAGCATAGAATCTGCCTTTGATCAGACTTGAAACTCCTACATTTCCCTTTAGTTCTGTGTACCCTGCTGCTTGTATGGTGAACATTCAAGGGAGTCAGAATGCCCACTCTTTCTAGAGAGCTGTAGCCCCCAAGAGTTAAGTTTCAAGAACCACATGTAAACCACAATACGGGTGTCCAACTCAGCTGTACAAATAAAGTTCAGTCTTGAAACGCAGTGAAGATCAGTGTTGAGGCCCATTGTAACTATGTGGTCTCATCTCTTGGCCAGAAAGATCTTAATTATTAAAAATAAATGAAATCAATGTTATTTTCTTCTTTTGCTATGCTAATCATTTGTCATCTATGATGAATATTCCAGAAGCTATTTTCATATTTAATAGATACTGTAGAGCTTTTAAAATATCACTGTACTTGCATACCTTGATAAGAAAATGTCTTTAGCTTGCAGTCTCTGATGGAACAAAATCAAAACTGCTTAGACAAGTGTCCTTGCTCGAGGAAAAACTAGAGACTATGGTCCACAAGGAAGCCAGCGAGGAAGCGTATGAAAAAATGGTTCTGGTGAAAGACCAGGTATGTTGCAGAAGAGAAATTATCTTTACTTCAAAAGTTACCTAACCTTATATAAACTGACAGCTCTACAAAGCCATTTCTGGCTGGGTTGGAAGCTCATATTTAAGTTCATAAGGATAAATAACAATGTTTTGTATTTGCTAAAAGTAATTTTCTTCCCTGGTAAATATTGACATATAGAAATTAATTTTGTTACTAGTAGTTTTAAAGTTTGTTTGACATGTATCCTTTTGAATGACATTAGCTGAATATTTTATTTATTTTATAAATGGTATTAACTGTACAAATGTTTCTTAGTTGTCAAAGTTGAACCTAATCAAAGAATAGTTTCTTTCTGTGTAGTGAAACAAGTGGATCGCAACATTTGGCATTTTTTAATAAGAAATAACTAATCTCTAAATTTCTGGACATTGTGTGTGTGTGTAAATCATTATATAAATTTACCTCTTATTTAACCCCAAGGGTTTGCATCTGCCTCTGGAATATATGAATATGTTTTTATGTGAAGGTGTATATATAGGTATGATATAGGGAGTATTAGCATTAACTGTAGCACATCAATTCAACATTATTTTTCCTAAGCATTTCCTAGTTCTTAACATGTCTGTGTGTTTTGTCTTTGGGCTCTTCCATAGAATGGAAAAGGAATAGGGACAAGAGGGATGATTTCTCCAATGATGATTTTCAAAAAAATCTAGCTGAGATAATATACAAGACTTGAGAACTGGTACATATTTATATTTGGAATACTTTGAATATGTAAAAGGAAGAGTTACGCACTTGGTTTCTAAACTTTTCTCATTTTCAGTGTATTGAGAAATTACAAGCTGAAGTAAAAGCTTCCCAGGAGCAACTTATAGCCCATGTAAGTGTTTTCCACCTTGTTTCATTCCTTTATTTATATCATTGTTATCCTGGAAATGAAATATTTACCATAAGTTATAAATGATATTTGTCTGTTGCACACCGTATGAGTACTTTTACTACCCCTATAGAACTGTTTTCCAAAAATAAAATTCTAATTTTTTTGCTGATGATAAAAATTACAAACTGAGCTCTTATATATAATCACATGGTCTAATTAGGTACTATCAGGATAAGAGAATTGCAACTAAAGGTAGAAAAGAAGCCAGGCTAGTTTAGTGAGCAGATGGATGTAGAGAGATGAGTCAATTATTGACACATCCAATCAAGTCTAGAGCAGTGCTTCCTAAACTTCTCTGTATGTGCGAATCGCCTGGAAAGCTTCTTAAAACAAATTGCCCAGATACCTGTTTCTCGCATGCGTTGGTTGGGCCTGGGGACTTGCACTTCTAGGTGATTCCTTGCACTTCAGGTGATGCTGATGCTGCTAGTCTTTGGGCCACACTTTGAACAGCACTGTTTGTGTGTGTGTCTGTGTATATGAATATATATATATATATGAATATATACATATATATTCATTCTGCTCCTGTCTTGTGATTTTTAGAGAAATGGCCATATAAACCAATCAGAATACATAATTTTTCATTTTCCCCTGCAAATACCCCCCTGAGAGAGACATAGGAATTTCTAGGGCAAATTTCGTTTAAATGTTTGCCTATGTTTATTCAGAGAACAACTTATAAGCATCTCCTGCCAAAATGCCTTTGTTTGTTATTCACACCCATAAAGCAGTCACCCCACCACAGACCCTTCCAAAAGATCCGAACAACTCTAATGCCTTTGGCATCTCCTCAAAGACTTGCCTCCTTTCCTTTCAGTCATCTCCTCCACCTACATTCTGGCTGCTCTGTGATGACTTCTTGGTTAAGGACACTGGCCAGCCATGCTAATGGCCAACCTTAACACCGCCGAGCTCCTCAGACAGACCTGAAAGCTAAGCAGCTGCAGTCCAGACGACCTGCAGAAAAGGCTGCAAAATAATAAATTCTGGTGACCATCTCTCTGGGGTTGGAAATAAGTAGAGTTGAGTAAAATCTTGGTACCTGCTTCATTTTTGTGCTGGAGAAGAAAAAAGCTAATCTGCTTTGGCGGTTAGCAGAGATTTTAACTCTAAATTCAGAATCTTCTTTTGGCCTTCTATGCTCAATCAATCAATGCTGAATGACTAAGGGCTGCACTTGTGGCACTGTGGCGTGTTCAGACAGAAATGTGGCTCATTGGCCCAGTATTCTGTTGCGGATCCTCTCCCTTGGCTTGCTCCTGAGGGTGTCAAATAATTACCATTGTCAAAGGCTGTCCTTTCATGACAGATTGATACCTACAGCCATTCACATGGAGGGGGGTTTGGGCTCCAAATTTTTTAAGGAGAGCAGATGTATTCACTAAGCTTCTGATATTAGCTTCTAGCATCTCTTCATAAAAAAAAGATTTAAAAAAATAGTTGCTGGTGCCTTAGGACAATTCCTGTGGTGTCTTCTTCCATTGCCTAATTTCTATGGATTCTGCTCCTATACCACTCTGTGACTGTCTCAGCCTTGTGTGAACTGGAATTGCTTCCTTGTATTAGGGTATTGATATCAATAACTGAGGATTCTCATATATAATTGACCAACACTCAGGTTTCAATATGGCAGTGTACTCTTCAAGGTTTTGCTTCAATTCATCAAGAAAAGCTTAAATGAAAACATTATTAACAATAATGTTTACTGAGAATGATTGTGTGTCTTCTCTCTCACTCACCTCTCTCTGCCTCATGCTGAACCCACTAGTAACGTGGAGCCTCTGTTTTTCTTTGCACATCCAGTATAGTTCGATGCTCTGTGACTTTGGTCACAGTGTTGTTTTGGACTGGAATATCCTTCTCTCTCCTCTTCACCGCAATACCTCCTCTCTCTCTGCAAGACTCACATAAGAACCAACTTCCTCCTTAGGCCCCAGATTACTTTCTCTGGGCTCCCATAACCTCCCATAAATGCATCTATGTGAGCTGTTAAAAAAACACTTTAGATAAATTAAATTTAACAAAGTTTATTTGGGCAAAAAATAATTCATGAATTGGGCAGAACTCAGAACTAGAGCAATTCTGAGACCTCTATCTAGCAGTGTGAACAGTGAGCTTTTATAGGCCAAACATGATGCAAAGTAGAGAATTTACCTAATTGGCTACAGCCAGGCCTTTGCCTTATTTGGGTGTGATCTGATCAGTTGGCTGCCTGTGATTGGCTGACACTAAGCTGTCTGTGATTGGCTGAAACTCATCTATTTGTTACAAAAAAATATTCTCCTAAATTAGGTTTCAGTTTGTATACTAAATTAGGTTGTGATTTGTTATGTGGGAACTCAAAGTACAGAGACAGCCTCAGGCCACTGGCCTCCTGCTTATTTCATTTAACAGAGCTCAGTATATTACACATTGTTGATATTGTCCAGTTAGACATCTCTTCTCCACTAGACTCTAAGGTCATTGAGGGCAGCACCAAGAATGTGTCTCTGAATCCACTATACCAATCCTGGGTTGGGTACACTGTAACCACTCAATACATTTTGCTGAATTGAGCTGAATTTTACTCAGATCATGTCATTTCCTCAGTTCCAAAGCCTACCTAGCCTGAGAAAATGGTTACCCAATATCCCAGAATAAATTGCAACCTGATCCTGGCATTTATCATGCTGACCATGTTGGCCTGAGACCCCCGAGTGCACCAGCCATCCCTGGTGGGGCTTCCTTCATAGATCTTTTCCACATGGAATACCTGTCCCTGCCATAGCGTTTGCAAGATTTTTCCCATTCTTTATCAAGATTGTTCCTTTCAGGCAGTTCTCCCTGACGGTCAGCCCAGAAGCAACCCTCCTTCCTTGGGCCTTCACAGCACTTCTCTGCACCTCTCTCCGGTCCCTTGTCACGCTGTGCCCCACAGAAGGGTAATTTGATGTGGTCTATGTCTTCTCCAAGACTGCAAGTTCCCAGGGGACAGGGAGCAAGTCTCTTTACCCTTATTCCTCCACAGTGTCTGGCCAATGCCTTGTACAGATTTCATTGAAATGAACTGTTAAAATGGCTAATTAAAAGATAAAATTATTTTGGCATTTATAGGAGCATACTTTATCACTCGGGGAAAATAACTTTGTAAAAAGGATTGTATTCCTTAAAGTTGCCAGTAACAAAAGGCATTCCTTTCATCTGTGGCTGATGCTTTTAAGGTATAACATGCAAGGGACAAAAGGAAACCATCTCTTGGAGTGAAAATGGAAGGAAAAATTAGCAGAGAAGGAAAGCATAGTTGGTGGGAAACCCGTATTTCAGGTGAAGTAAGAAGAGCATCTCAACGAAACATGGTCTTAACATGAAAATTAACAACAGTGTCTTGGCTTGCTTTCATTCAGAGTTCACTCATCTAAAACTCAATAGTTGAATCATATTAATGTATAATTAAATCGATAGCTATGAAATGGAGAGAAGATACAAGCCTTAACATTTTAAAGTTATCATTTGCTTGTATTCTGAAGATTAAAATCTCATCTCATTAACTTTACACAGCTTATACTTTTTTAAAAAGTTATAAAAGGTTGTTCTTCCCAACGCACACGGCAGTGCCCCGACTAAGTTGCCCCGGGCATTTTTATCACTCCCACGTGATTACGTATCTACTTCGAGACATACATGGGATAAAACAAGTATTTAAAGTGAATGTTTATAATCACTTAGAGATAGTTGTTCATGTTAGGGCAACTTGAGTTAGGACTAAGTATCTTAAGGAAAAATTCCTTTTAAAATTAATGCCTTCCAAACGATGGCTCCATTCTCGCCGGTGTTTAGCATTTCAGGGTGTACCTGCGTAGCCCCGTTTGCCCCAGCACCGCTGGTGACCTGATTATCCGCAGCAGTCCAGAGGTCTGCCCCGTCCCCTTCCCTGCCACCATTCCATTTCTTGGCCTCTGGCTACACACAAGACCTGACCAGGGTCAAAAATTTTATATTATTCAATGAAATTATTTCAAAAAGGGTCATCTGGATAACCGGTGGTGGGCCCTCAAGTGTTCCATCATTCTCTGGACTGTCCTGTATGTTTGAAACGTTAATATTTCATAATAAACTAAAAAGTTAAAACGTTCGTGTGAGGGAATCTTCCGAGTGACGCCCACAGCATGCACTCAGCTTGGGGCGCAGGGGTCTGCCCCGGAAACGGAAGTCCCTGAGTTCAGAGGCCGCGCTCAGGCCTGCGGCGCAGGGCGAGGGCTCGGGGCCTGGAGAGGCACCGCTGGACCACGGCGGTTGCCCAGGGGGTGGCGGGACTCCTTGCTGTCCTCCTCTGAAGAAGCTATACACTGCCATTTTGCTTTCTAAATTAAGAATCTACACGAGCTCCGAATTAGCCCATGTGCAGAGCCTGCTAGAATTCCAAGCCCTCTGCGGAGGGATCTTTCCCTGCTATGAAAGGGACGTGGGCTGTTTTGTTGAGTTTTGTTCCGGTGGTTTGGCTGCCTGAGCGTCTGTTACTGCACCTGTGGCAATAATGCCCAGATATCCTTTTCAACTGCGTCTCTCCAATCGTGTGCAGTCTTGGAAGGCCTGTAATTCAAAATGCACTATCAGCTACTAGCTGGGGAGTGGGCATGTGGCCTACGCCAAGTGGATGCTTTCTTCAGGGACTCTGCGTTTTAATTCAGGTGAATTATCCTCTCGAGAGAGAGGATAGGCAGTTGGAGCTGACACATTCTGCCACTGATGCCCAAGGCATCATGGGGAAGGAGTGTATGCTGCCTGGACTAGAACTTCTCCAGATCCTGTCTACTCTAAATCTGGTTTCTGTGGCTTTTAGGAACCACCCAATAACCTTCCAATAAATTCTCTTTTCCTTTAAGCTAATCAGAATTAGATTCAGTTGTTCATTACTAAGAAGTAATAATTCTTACATTATCCTAGTGGTTCTCAAATTG